CGACCACTGCACTCCAGTCTGGGCGACGGAGTGAGACTCCAACTCAAAAAAAAAAAAGGTATAGTAGAAAAGCCACTGGAGTGAGAGTCAAAACAGCTTAGCATTTAGACTGCTAGTGCTGTTACCTTCGGGCAAGTCACCTCTTGGAACCCCATCTTAGAGTTAACTAAGAGGATGCTGGCGTAGGGGAGGGGAAACTCACCTCCAAGAATCAGTATCTATGTCTGTCTCTCTCTCTTTCTCTCCTTCTGATTTTATCTCTCTCATCCTATCTCTCATTCTTTCATTCTCTCTCTTCTCTCTCATATTCTGTCTCTCATTCTCTTTTTTTTAATCAAAGGTAATTTTAACTGACTTCCGATAATAATGACTGAGATTCACAAAGTACTATTTGCAAGACACCCTTCTACATGCTTTACCTGAATTTTATTTATTTACTTAGTTAGTTAGTTAGTTAGTTATTGAGTTGGAGTCTCACTCTGTTGCCCAGGCTGGGGCATGCTCACAGCCACTGCAGCCTCAATCTTCTGGGCTCAGGCAATTCTTCCACCTCAGCCTTCCAAATAGCTGGAACAACAGGCTCACGCCCCCCCCCAGCTAATTTTTTTTTTTTTTTAATTGTAGAAACAAGGTCTCGCCATGTTGTCTTGAACCCCTGGTCATAGGCAATCCTCTCACCTCGGCCTCCCAAAGTGCTTGGATTACAGGCTTAAGCCACCGTGCCTGGGCTTGTATTATCTTATTTAATCAAAAACCATCCTATAAGCCAGGGCTGTATGGCTCACACCTGTAATCACAGCACTTTGGGAGGCCAAAGCGAGAGGATTGACTGAGTTCAGGAGTTTGAGACCAGCCTGGGCAAGTTGGCAAGACATCTTCTCTGCAGTACCATTTCAAAAATTAGCCAGGTGTGGTGGTTCATGCCGTAGTTCCAGCTACTTGGAGGGCTGAGGCAGAAGGATCACCTGAGCCCAGCATGTTGAGGCTGCGATGACCATGAGCATGCCACTGCATTCCAATAGGTGACAGTAAGACACCAGCTCAAAAAAAAAAAAACATATAAGACAAGAACTATTATTATACTCATTTTACATATGAGGAAATGGAGTCATCAAGAAGTTAAGTAACCTCCAGCCTAACCCAGCAGAGTCAGAATTTGAAACCATCTAGACTACAGAAGAAATCATTTAATATCTCTGCCACACCATCACTGCCAGGCTGATGAGACCAGCCCAAGATAGCACGGGTTACCAGGATACCAGGTGGGATGAGTCCACAATAAGCCAAGAGCCTGGTCATGGCATTCAGCTTGTGTAGCCTTATCTCAGGAAAGTGTTTCCACTTACTGCCTTGAAGGAAGACCTTGGGCTAAAGTCCCTCTCAGCCCTTACAGCTGAAACAAAATAGAGCCAGGAGAGGTGACCATGCAAACCTGCACTTAATTCAGCTAGCTTTTTCAGGAAACAAGATTTCTTTGACTCTTGTGTGCAGAGTCTGACCTTACATTTATTTGTTCACTGAACAAATAAATATGTATTGAGCACCATGAGGTAAAAACACAGAAAACAATAAAGTCAAGACTAACAACGGGCCTTGAGGACTAAGCTAGTTTCTTGTAACTCCCCTCTTTAACCTTCCACCTACAAACCTCACCAGTGCCAACCTTTCTCCTCCTGTTTCAATCATTGATGGAGACAACATAGCTCTCTTATCATTCAGTTACCAAATATTTTATCAACCATTAATATATTATCTAAGCCAGGCTCGGTGGCTCAGCCTGTAATCGCGCGCTTTGGAAGGCTGAGGTGAGTGGATTGCCTGAGCCCGCAGGTTCAAGACCCGCCTGGGCAACTTGACGAGACCTCATCTCTACAATAAATCAAAAATTAGCCGGGCGTGGTGGCACGCGCCTGTAGTTTCAGCTACTTGGAAGGCTGAGGCGGAAGGATTGCCTGCGCCTAGCAGGTCAAGGCTGCAGTGGTCATGAGCGTACCACTGCACTCCAGTTTGGGCGACAGAGTGAGACTCCAACTCAAAAAAAAAAAAAAGATATTATCTAAACCAGTGCTTCTGGAAAAGTCTTGGAAAGGAACAGGGGGCAACAGGGTCAGAAACAAAATACCTATGCTGTTGCAAACCCCATTAAGGAAAAACTATTCATTAAACTTTATACATTTGCTATGCACAGCCCTTTTCATTTCCAAACCTATATCCACATGTATTCACTACTTGCTCAGATTATGGGAAAGTTTCTTCGAGTTTTCCTGTGAACGGAGATCTTTTAGGAACACACGTTTCTTGAGTTTGCTTTCCTGCCTGCCCTCCATCCTATGAAAAGTGTTTTCTTCTTCCTCCTTTCCAATTCCTCCACCTGTGGCCCATGACAACCTTCTACCTGCCATAATGTGAGGCATCATCCACCTTTCTCTGTCTTTTTTTTTTTTTTTTTTTTTTTGAGTTGCAGTCTCACTCTGTCACCCAGACTGGAGTGCAGTGGCCACTCCCGGCCACCGCAGCCTCGACCTGCTGGGCTCCGGTGATCCTTCCGCCTCAGCCTTCCGAGTAACCAGAATTACAGGTGCGCGCTACCACGCCCGGTTAATTTTTTGATTTATTGTAAAAATGAGGTCTCGCCTGCCCAGGCGGGTCTCAAACCCGCGGGCTCAGGCAATCCACTCACCTCAGCCTCCCAAAGGCGCGGGATTACAGGCTGAGCCACCGAGCCCGGCTCTCTGTCTTTTTTATATCTTCACTCTCTCACCGCTGGGTCCTTATACTACACATGGGTCCTTATATCTACACATGGGCTCAAAAACATCTGCTTTCCCAAAAAACTTCCCAAAGCCCACTATAACCTTGAGATACAGCCATCACGCTTTCTTTCTCTGTAGCCCCCAACTGCTCAGTAGTGTCTTTCCTCTCCTGCTTTCTTGAAGGCCAGCCTCCCCTGCTGACCACCCACCTCTGTAGTCTTTCCTCCCTTGGCCTCTGAGCCCTACTGTCCTCAACTTCCTTCTAGTTCTCTGACAGTACCTCGGTCAACTGCGGTCTGAAAGTATTAAATGGAAAATTCCAGAAATAAGCAATTCATAATTTTCCAGTTTGCACCGTTGTAAGTAATGTGAATCATTCCTTTGCCCAGCATATCCATGTTATATACACTACCTGGCTGGTAGTCACTGTCAGGACCTTTCCCCTCTGAAGGTTCACTGAAAATCAACTGACAAAAGGCAGATTAACAGGAGAAAAGGCATACAAATTTATTAACACACACAAGGAGGAAGGGTGAGTACCCTGCCAGGAGTGGGGTCATGTGGTTATATTCCCTTCTTCTTTGGGGAAAGGGGATGGGGAAGTGTGGATGATTTTAGGGAGATAGTAAATGACTTTGAAGGGAATTCAATGGATTTGAAGAGCATGCGGTGGCCTAGTACAACATCTGTTGGGCTTGTAGGGCAGACAATGGTTTGTGACAAAGTCTGTCCAGGTGTGTTAATAGACTGCACTCTTTCTTTCTGCAACATGAGTTCAGTTAATGGAAACTCAGAGAAGAAACCAGAGGTAATCGTGTTCTTTGGTGGCTCCAGACTTTAAGCAAAAAAGGAACTTCAGAAACAACTTCATTCTGTGCTTTGGGGGAACCAGAAGATTGAGAGATAAGAAAAGGGAGGTCAGGCTGGGGACAGTGGCTCATGCCTATAATCCTAGCACTTTAGGAGGCCAAGGTGAGAGGATTGCCTGAGCCAACAGGTTCAAGACCAGCCTGGGCAACTTGGTGAGCCCTCATCTCTACAATTCAAAAAATTAGCCTAGCATGGTGGTGCATGCCTGGAGTTCCAGTTACTTGGAAGGCTGAGGCAGAAAGATCACCTGAGCCCAGCAGGTCAAGGCTGCAGTGGTCGTGAGAGTGCCACTGCACTCCAGCCTGGGTAACAGACTGCGACTCCTACTCAAAAAGAAAAAAAAAGGAAAGAAAAGGGAGATCAGAAAGACCTTGAGGCTTTTTCTTCAGTTCAGCATGACAAAGCACCATATTTTGGGGTATACGTTTCTAGGCCCCAATACCACTTAGTAGCCATCTCAATTATTAGATTTAAAAAAATAGTACAGTATACATAGGGTTCAGTACTATCTGCAGTTTCAGGCATGCATTAGGAGGCTTGGAACTATCCCCCAATGATAAAGGACCCCTGTATGCCTTCCTGCCCTAATTTCTCTTCCTGCCTTTCAGATTCTCTAAACCTAGGTGATCCCCAAGGTCATTTACTCAAGAGGGCCTAGGGTGGGCTGTGACCATGCCGGAAAGTAGATTGGCTAGTTCATTAGACAAATAATGAATATATATGGTAGACTGTGCCAGACATTGTACTAGGTTCAAGAAAAACAGAGGGCAGATGTGGTAGCTCATGCCTATAATCCCAACACTTTGGGAGCCCAAGGCAAGAGGATTGCCTGAGACCAGGAGTTTGAGACCAGCCTGGGCAACTTGGCAAGAATTCATCTCTACAATAAATCAAAAAATTAGCCAGGCATGGAGGCGTACTTGGAAGGCTGAAGTGGAAGGATCGCCTGAGCCCAGCATGTCGAGGCTGCAGTGGCTGTGAGCGTGCCAATGCACTCCAGCCTAGGTGACAGTGAGACTCCCAAGCACAAGAGAAAGAAAGAAAAGAAAGAAGGAAGGAAGGAAGGAAGGAAAGAAAGAAAGAAAGAAAGAAAGAAAAACAGAACAAACAAGACACACATAGTCTCTGCCTGCAGAGTTTATTAGTGAACTAGTCAGGTGGGTATATACAATAAACAAGTAATAGCCAAGTGTGGTGGCTCACACCTGTAATCTCAGCTCTTTAGAAGGCAGAGGCAAAAGAATTGCCTGAGCCCAGGCGTTCGAGACCAGCCTGGGCAACATG